AATACCATTGTTGTTCTATTATCTAAATAATATACTACGACTTTGCAGAACATGCAATTATCTACAAAAAATGTCGCGACAGTATATGTCTAACTGTTATATAATATTTAAGTCACAATAAGTGTTCTTTTATTTAAAAATAATAATAATGAAAATGCTGTCTCTGTAAAAGCTCTTTATTTGTACCTTGGTATTAATCCTTATCAAAATTATTTACTTAATCTTCAAGACCTTTGAGAATTATTCGATTCGGATATCCTATTCGAAAGATATCACGATATTAACAATGTTACAATAAGAAACAAGTAAGGAAAGGTGTAGCCGAGCATTTCATACTCTTGCAACTGACATGGGTCAAAGCCGGTTAAATACCTTCAGTTGTTGGTAATATTGACAAATGTAGCGAAAGGGTTCATTGTTCGACGAAATCATCATATATGGATTACAATCAAATTTGGTATCATAATAATTTATTTTAAAGGTCTCTTAGTTGTATTACTATATTTTACTTCCCGTCACCGAAATTTATACAAAGAAATGGAAGGGCTGACTGCATTAATATTAAATATTTCTAAGGTATACTTAATAACTGGTTTTAAAGCAATTTCATAAATATATATATATAAGGAGTAAAGTCATCCGGAAGTTTCAAAATCGTTCAGTTATATGGGGGCTAAGGCAAGTTTCCAAACGAATTTTCATTAAGGCCCCGTTATTAAAAAAACGCGCTCTCTTAGTTTCATTAAAACAACTCCCACACTGGCCGAAATCAATTTCATTATAATATCTCCCACATTGGCCGATTTATGTGTATAAAGTCAACTGAAAGTTCAAAAATCATTATATGAGGTATATGGGGGCTAAGGGAAGTATTGACCGATTCAACCTCCTTTTAACAAAAGAGTGTATTAGTATCAAAGAGATATTTTCCAGGAAATTCAAAAATATATGATGTAAATTTTGTCTCTAAAGTATTTAGTTACTGATATACCGCGCTTTTAGTAGTTTTAATCCGATTTCATCCATTTTTACACGGTCTTAGGGGTTCTTAAAGGATTTGTTCAAAGCGAATTTGGGTAATACAAGTATACAAAGTGCGTTCCAAAGTAAACAGTAAAAAAGTAACAACGTAAACTCTAGTGGCCATCTAGCCATCTATATGTCGACTAGTGCATTAGAATCTGCTATTCTTTATCGACTTCCAGTAAAAATTTCATGACATTTCATGTATTGGAAGTAAAATTATTGCGTTTTAAGTGTCAGTATGTGAGGACATAAATGAGAAATGAGCCTAAACTCAAAAAATCGCGCCTATCCAAAAAGAATTTGTTCCACCCGGCCAAAACGTTAATGCGGTATTCTACCTTGGAGTTTTAAAGCAATTGGTGCGCCGTATTCGACGTGTTCGGCCCGAATATCGCGAAGATGGAAGTTGGCGTTTGTTGCACGATAATGCGCCGTCTCATCGATCGACGCTTGTGGCCGATTATTTGACCAAAAATCACATTTTAACAATTAACCACTTCCCGTATTCACCTGATATGGCACCGTGCGACTTCTACCTTTTCGGAAAAATGCATTCGCCGATGAAAGGAAAGCGTTATACAGACGTGGAGGCCATTCAAAAGGCTTGCACCGGCATACTGGCGGCCATGCCGGGCAACGAGCTAAAACACTCGTTCGACATGCTTTTGGACCGTGCAAAAAGCTGTATTACAGCAGAAGGAGACTATTTTGAATAAAATTAATTGATTTTGCCGATAAGACTTTTTGTTCTGTTTTTTTTTTAAAGTCCTGTTTACTTTTGAACGATCCTTGTAGCTTGAATGATTTGGGTATGTATGTATTGTACATTAAACTTATTAAAGGGCGAAGTAGCGCCCAATTTGTTTTAGCTCACAAAAGTGGTGTGGTGAGCGGCGACCCGTTTAGTTTGATTGCAACATAATATGCAATGTGGGCGTCATTGAGGCACGGAGAAATAAAATACAGCGTAGCTCAGTCGCGTGCAGAATTGAATAATTTTTGCTTGAATACAATTTTAATAAATGTATACTCTTGCAACAATTACTACAGAGTATAATAGAATTATTCACTTAACTTGTATCAACTAAAAATAATCGTGTTAGATATAGGGTTCTACAAGTATATATATAAATGATCAAGATGATGAGACGAGTTGAAATCCGAGTGACTGTTTGTCTGTCCGTCCGTGCAAGCGTTTACTTGAGTAAAAATTGAGACATATGAATGAAACTTGTACACGTGTTTCTTGGCAAAAAAGTGAAGACGAGTTCGTAGATAGGCATAATTGGACAACTGCCACGTAAATCGTAATATAACCACGCCCGTTTTACATATAACGGTTTTGTTAAATACTACTAAATCTGCGATAAATCAATAACGATATGACACAAAAGGGCTTTATAAGAGCGGGTCTCAAAATTGGACTATGGGCGTGGCACTTAGGTAAAATTACCTATCTCCGAACCTACTCCATCATTTTCAACCAAATTTTGTACATAAGATTATTTTAACATTCTCATGTAAATGGGCGAAATCGATCAGTAACCATACCTATTTCCCATATAACACATCTTTAAATTTCATCTGATTTTTTTGCTTTTCAGTATAAGGTACAAATCAAACACTAATTAATATATCAGGATAAAAATTCGCAAGAATATTTCCTTTAAGGTATGCCATCTCAGGTCTAAGAATTGTCCAAATCGGTCCATAATCATTTAAGCCTGCAGATACCGGAAATGTGGACACAGATACTATGGCTGACTTTTTACTGAAAGTATCGGTCAATGCGTGGGACACGTTATTGCATTTGGAAGATAATGCTTTACTGATAAAACTATGTCTGTATGTAAAAAATGTAATGATTCGGGTCAATACTTCTTTAATCCCCATATACAAGGTGTGTTCAAAAGAAAATGTTAATATTTATTTTCGGGGGATGTGTACATTCAATTATCGATATTTTGGTTTTGTTATAGTTGGACACATATGTTTATCATGTGCTTGGATTAGGAGCCAATTTCGATTAGTAGTTTGACTTTGACAACAGAAAAGGTTAGTCACGTTTTCATGCGCTCTTGGATTTTTGACTTTTGAAAGAAATGGATCAAAGAATATGTACTAAAATTTTTGTTAAAAATGGAACAAAGTGCTCGAAGGCATTTGAAATGTTGACTGTGCCATTCGGTAAGTTCACTATGTATGTCCCAAAAAAAGTGATATAAGTGGTACAAAGGCTTTACAAAAGGGCGAGAAGATGTTGATGACGATGAGCAGCCTGAAGGCGGGACCACGTCAACAAGCGAAGAAAACATCGAAACAGTGAAACAAAGAAATGTCGCTCAGAAACAAAATATTTCACCAAAAACAAAACCGTTTTGCCACAATCCGAATCAAGGAAAGATCTGATAGCCATACCAAAAAGCGCATTTCAGAAGTGCTTTGAGGATTGGAAAAAGCGTTGGTACAAGTTTTATATCCGAGGGTGATTAATTTTAAGGGTACTGAATATATATTGATGAATAAATAATAATTATTATAATAGATATTTTAATGAAATTGAGAAAGCGTGCTTTCTAATGAAAGTTTTTCTTGGTGTCTTTTTAAGAGGCCAGACCACGCCCACTTTTTAAAGATTTTCAAACCGAGGGTGCTCCTCCTTATTGCGATTCATTGTCCCTTTGTATGTAGTTTTGTATCTTAATTTACGACTTAGTTATTGCAGTTTATATATTTTCATTTGATGGCGTTTTGTGGGCGTGGCTGTGGGCCGATAACGTCCCTGAACTGAATTTGTTATGGTGCTATGGACACTTGTAGCAAGTTTTATCAAGATATCTTAATTTTTACTCATGCTACGGCTTGCACGGTCAGTCGGACGGACGGACAAACAGTCATTCGAATTTCGACTCATCAACCTAATCGTTTAAACCATATATGTATAACTCTCTAGTTACCTCGATCAGTTTTAGGCGATACAAACCACCGTTAGTTCAACAAAACTCTTATACTCTGTAGCAACATGTTGCAAGAGTATAAAAATCTGTGGCTATTAAAACACAATGCGCACAATTACCTCCAAAGCAAGGGAGAGCAGGACAAAGCTTTGGACTCCACAATATATGAAATGTTCGTTAAAACCCCAGGATCAAACAAAATTTCCTGAAAGCTCTTCCCCACACTTTAAAAATTAGGCTAATAACATTATAAAATAGCACCTTAGACCAAGGCATACTCCCTCAAACATTTCTAATACCTCAATCAGCTCATAAGACAATTTCCTTAGTATCCTACATGACAAAAGTTCAAACAAAAGGATTAATAAAAGGAATTATAAACCTTAATTGTGAGAAAGCTTTTGACATAATCGAAACTCACATCATACTACAAAAAATAAAGGTTGCATTTGGAAACAAAATCTACAGTTTATACACCTTCCCTATCCTGTTCTTTGCCAATATAAATCAAACACACGAATATTTTGAGGATACTTGGACTTTTGAACTTTTAAAGACCATTGAAAATATTATTGTCAAGAATGCATATGAGATTTATGGATACTAAAAACACCACCCCCTTATTCACACATTACCATAAAACAGCGAGAACAAGCATTTGCACATTCCCCACCTATCCAATCAAAGTGATATTACGTACTATAACTCGCCACAGAACAAGATACAACACTGATGCTCACCCAAAACTTTCTCCATCGTAGAAACAAGCTCCTATTTTACCTAGTGGAATCACACCGTGCAACAAAACCGTCAAGATCTAATAACGTTTGTGCGCCTTAAAATAGGCCACACCTCCAGAACGCACTGTTATCCACTGGTGATCATGAAATGAATGCACTGATATAGATCAAAAAGGTAGAATCAATTACCTCTATAACTATTACATCAGCAACTCGAAAGAATAACTAGTAGTAACATAAAAATCAAAAGCAGAACATAGACCAATAGACGAGTACATATAGGTATTTCGCATTCGCGTATTGTATAAAGATATATATTTATTATAAAACAATAATACAAGTATGGTAAAGGGTAGTTTTATAACATACATGTACAAATTATAAATGAAACAGTGTCTATATTATTTCATCAATCGCAAGCTTAATCCTCACTAGGTTCAACAATTCTACAAATAATAGGTATATCCTGAACTTTTGTTGGATTTCCCAAATACCTCGTTAAGTTGCTTGATATTATACTATTTTTGAACTTCTGCCATGTGCGAGTAGTTAAAAAGTCTTTGAAGAGTTGTTCTCTAGATGGGATTGTGGAATCTAAGTAGAATCGCCTACGTTGCCATATGTTTCCTGGATTTTGATCCCTTTCCATGAGCCAATATCTTGGAAGCATAAGACATTGGACGGTAGTTCTGGCCATTATAACTCTATGTTCTAGTTTCTCGCCTAAACTAAAAATACCTCCAAACGTTATTGACCCAACGTCAATAAAATGGTTTTCAATTTTGGTATTAGATTCCTGTAATAAAAATTACTATAGTTATAGCTATATATTTCTAAAGAAGCTTTGTAACTATCAATAATTTATAATCTTATTATTAACAACAAATAAATGTAGTTCAAAAAAACTGAAAACCACGCTTTCAAAGCATTTCAAATTAAAAAGTGAAAAATAAGTCTAAATGTAAGTGACAGTAATATTTCCCGAAAAAGTCTTGTATTATTGCGAGAAAAGTGTGGTATGCTCGATATGCGACATAGGTATATGGCACGAACCATCCTATGCTTTTTTCATAATAATATACGTTTTCTTCGATCAATTAATTTTAACTTTTTAGTTTGATGTGCTATATGAGCATGATTTTTAGTATTTTCTACCATATTTTTTGTTTAGCCACAGGTGGTGTTTTCACTTTCTTTAAGAATATGTTTGTGTCATTTTGTTCTTCAAATGATATTTTGGAAAGTTGATGCTTTTAGCTGCTTACAAGTAGTTTTAGGGTAATTTTTTGGGCCTATGAAACTGTTGATTCTTTTTTCAGTGCCATTCAGTTTCAGTACCACTAAAAAAAGTTACAAACATAAAGGTGAAGCTAATAAAAGCGCTAAAGAGAAGAAAAGCTTATAGCTACATATATTTTCTAAAAAAGGTTTGAAACTATATATATAACTATATAGGGCTTGTTCGAGTTGCAATCACAAGAGTTGTGATGTACGATTTCTTAAAGTATCACTTTCGATGTGAAATTCAAGCTGTCAAAAAATTGGTAATTGTTATGAGCGAAGTCAAATAAATTAGCATCAAGAATTTCTTGTTTGGATGACTGCTATCGAAAGGTGAGCAAACTAGTTATTTGCAATTAAATATATTATATTTAATTTATAATATACATATGTACATCAATATATCTAATATTATTTGTATTTGTTTTATATTTCAGCGAAAAACATTGCAGCATCTAGGTATTCAACTTCGGCAATATATGCAAAAGAAATGGCGAATAACAGAAAAGAGCTGAGTGGTTGAAACAGAGCTGCAAATTTTTGTCAGTGCAGCAGTATTGCCATTTTTATTATTTGCCTCGGACAAGCCCATAATCTTATTATAAACAACTATGTCCAAAAACTCTACGTTTTAGCAAAAATTTCAATACTCTAATTATAGCTATGCGTAAAACATATGTATATTACTTTCTTTGTACTGGACATTCCTTCAGGTTCAATATTAGAATTTAAATTATTGAAATAATTGCGGTTTCCACTACTTCTAATTTTAATGCCGGGTGGTATATTTTCTTTGTTGTTTATATTTGATAACCTTTGCTTATCGATGCCAGTTTTGCTTTCCGATGATATCACATGTTCGTGTAGAGTTTCGACACTTAGCTTTTGCGTATATGAAAAATTACTGAACTCAGAGAGGAATTCTGTGTCTTCAGATTCGTTTAAATACTCCTTGGAAAAGTGACTATCTTTTCCAGATGTAATTTCCTCCTCGCTTGTTCCTTTTAGGCCACATGAAACTTCTATACTTTTAATGTCCATTTTCTGAAACTAGCATTTTAACAAATATGTTAACAATCAATACACAGACTTTCCTTTGAAGTCATATTGTAAACAAAATTGTATTATAAAAAGAAATCCTGATAAGAATTTTTAATGTCTACACAATCTTCGTTGGTTTGCATATATATTTTATTAAAACATATTTCTTATTTCTAGATTTGGGTATAACCAAACATACTGGGGAAATACCTTATACACGACGATACATTGTTATTAGAAAAACACGCTCTTCCAATTTCATTAAGAAAACTCACATATATGTATATTGACCGACATATGCGGTATAAAGTCAGCCGGAAGTTCGAAAATCTTTCTATTAGGTATAAGGGGTCTAAGGGAATTATTGATCTGATTCAGCCCATTTTTGACAAACACACATACTATATCAGAAAATTATTACTTCCAAATTTCTTTAATATATCTCACAGATTGGCCGATATTTTCAATAAAAAGTTTGTAATAAGAACTGGGGTCCATATACTTGTATTCGGTAGCTGAAGGCTCGAACAGTTTTACACCTATGTGCGCAATTATTGGTCATAAGGTGGCCACTATTCATGCAAAGTTTTATCTGGATCAATTGATTGGTTCTTGATTTGATACATGATAGTTCCAGAATAGAAAGTGAAAGAATCAGGTGGAATTTAAAATTGTTGTGGAAAAGTAGGAGTGGTGTTTATCTGATATAATTTTCGCACCGTAATGTAGGAGTTTCAGGATAATATTATCCTATCTGTCAAATTTGATTGAAACGATGAAGTAGGTCTCGAGATATGGGGTTTCACCTAAATGGGGGCCGTGCCACGACCAATAAGGCCCTCTTGTCCCATTTTGGATGTAAAATTGTATCTCACGGGCGCTTTTATTTATATATTTATCGCATTTTAAGTAGTTTTTAACAAAATCATTATATGGGGAGCGGGCGGTTACCTTCAGAATTCCCCCATTTTCACAGGGTGAATAGCGATGCTTAAAAAATGTATCCTGAACGAATTTGGTTATTACAGCTTGAATGGTTTATATATGTTCAATAAACTTATTAAGGGCGGGGCCACGACCACTTTTAAACAAATTTTTCAACCATAGGTACTACTTTCTAATGCAATTCGATGTACTGAATAACAGCTTTGTATCTTATTGCGGAGCTTATGGAAATTTATTGGTTTTCGATTAATTACGTTTTGTGGGTGGGCATGCCGATGGCAGTCTGATTACGCCCGTCTACAATACCGACCTTCTTACAGTGCCAAGAAACTTGTATACCAAGTTTTATCCAGATATCTCAACTTTTATTCAAGTTACAGCTTGCACAGATGCACGGACGGACGAACGGACGGAGAGTCACCCGGATGTCAATTCGTCTCTTCTTCTTATCTAACTCGATTAGTTTTGGATGATACAAACAACCGTTGGGAAAACTATCATACTCTGTACATGCTGCAACAGGTTGCAAGAGTATATAAATGGAGCGAAAGTGCTCAATTTCATTGTTCGACGAAATTGGGAATGTATTACAATCAAATTTGGAATCATATTAACTTAAAGGTCATAGACTCCTTTAGTTTTATTACTATATTTTACTTCCCGTCATGAATGAGACATATTTATGTAATATAAACTCAACCAAAGAGGCTAAATTTAATATATTGAATTGATGTAAAATACGTTAACCGTCGGAATTCATTATTCTATAAGAGATATGAGGTTGAGACCAATTGAGCGCCAAACCAGTAATATAACTTTTAAGAAAACGTGTCTACTTAATTTCATTATAATATCCCTGATTTTGACCAACCTAAACGGTTTAAAGTCAGGAGGAATGTCGGAAATCATATATAGGATATATTGGGGGTAAAGAAATAGAAAGGCTAATTGCATTAATTTTTAACGTTGCTCAGGTATACTTGAGAACAAATTTTCAAAGAATTTTTTAAATACAAGTTATATGTTATGTAATTTTTTGTTCGATTTTGCTAATTTTGGGAACAAAGACACACTATTATTAGAAAAACACGCAATCTTAATTTCATTAAAATAACTAGCGCTTTACCCGATATATGTGGTATAAACTCAACTGGAAGTTCGAAAATCTTTATATAAGGTATAATGGGGCTAAATCTGGACTTATAGTTATGATCACCGGCCAATATATCGGATTACAAGGAGACATTATGTCATGATTGTTCATATTTGTATAATACGTGGCGATTTGTAATGTTAAAACAAGGAGTGGCACATTGCAACCATGCGTACTTTCCATATATCACAATTTTACAGTATATAACTCAAGAACCAAAGAAGGTATCAGAATTAAACTTAGCACAAATACTTCTAACTTATGCTATATCACGTCGAAAGTTTTTTTAAATCGGTCAATAACTTTTCAAGCCCCCAGTTACCGAAGATGTGGATCTGATGTGATGACTTGTGACTTTTCTTTACTGATACTAATGTACCTTTGTATAAGAAATAGGTAAAATCGGTTTAACATATTCCTTAGCCTACGTTAAATTTATGCCATATAGGTATGTACTTACATCGGTCACTTTATGAGTTATCTTGAGATGCTCATCTCTGATAATACTACAACTACATCTAGCCCGCGTAAAAAAACGGCGATTACTCGTAACGGTTTGGTTAAAAGTTTGATCAGTTATGCATACTTTTGTTTTTGACATTTGTTTCGGTGTCCCAGTTCTGGGAAATCCGATTCAAATAAAACCTCGTTTTAATAGTAAAAGTAGCTTATATATTTTTTTTTGCAAAGTTTTCGATAATTGTGCGACCTGATGTTCAATTTCCACCGTCGGGTTTACTGTTTGCCGGTTATTTTGGACCTTTATTTAATAAAAATTTGCCTTTCATCTATTTTAATTTCTTTCGCTTTCCATTACGACCAAAACCGCAAAATGTTTAACAATTTACAAAATAAGACTTTAATAAGATAGCTTTTACTATAAAAACGAGCTTTTATTTAAATTCGTCGGATGTACGATACAATAACTACAACTGGAACGAGATGAGGGTACACTTTTGACGCATGTACATATTTCTTTTTTGCGGCAACTTAAGTCCCGCTATCTATGGCGTCGCCTGTTTGTTTGGCATTATTAGTACTACAAGTATTAGCATCTTAGCTTATTGAGAATAATAGTAACATACTTGTATATATGTATAAAAAGTTTTAAAAGTTATTTAAATAATAATTCCTATGATTTATAGCAGTAAACATTTATTTTGCTGATGAGTATGTATAGATATATTCTGATTAGTTTCTAAGAATAATGATGAATTTACTATTAAGTGCGAAAGGTACACCCATTTGTATATTGCTAGGAATTTAAGTTTTATACATAGTTTATTAAAATCTCTTACCAGGCGACTTCCTTTCTTATTTTTATCATCCTCTTCGGACATTATTTCATAATTCACATCAAAAAACGACAATATATTGCGAAAATTTCCATCTTTCGAAATATTTAAAGCGGAATCTTGAAATATATTTTCGTCTTCGTTTTGAGAAATATCAAAAAGTTCAAATAATTTTCCGCCTAGTTTAGTAGTAACCTGAAATTCAGTATGTTTTATACTTTATCAATTTTGTACCGATTTTTATGTTCCATATATTTCTTATATAGATTAAATCTATTTATATGAGTATAAAGCCAATATTGACAATGTGAAAGTTATCTTTTGTACATTAAAAAAAAGTGGCTTTTTCAAAGATTTTTTGTTCACATAATTAATTTTTTATTAAATCGTTAAATAAATGAAGCTTTAGCTTTTCCTTACTTTTAATTTTATTTTTTAAGTACTGTAATATAATATATTGATATTTTTTATCATTATATGAACAGAAATCGGTCAGAGGGAAAATAGTAAGTTATTTTGTCACCTTCATTTTTAAACATTGTAAGATCATGCATTCACCACTAATTACGAAATGCACGTAACTAATGTGACCTTTATCTTCATAATATATTGTTTCCAGTGGATCAAACTGTCGAATAAGGCCTAATTTGCAGGCGGTAATAATCTAAGAAAGTGTCAAATGAGTATTTAATATTGTTGTAAACTTTAAAAACTATTTTTACCTGATCATTATTTAAATACTTAAAATACTCCAATGAAAAAAGGGCTGCCTTCCTTTCCATCCATTGCTTTGACATTGTGGGTCGCAGAATGTTATTAAAATCGTCCTCATGCAGAACAAGAAGTTCAACTTGATCTAAAAATTTTATACTTATTTTTTATGTTAAGGATAATCAATGTAATTTCAAGGGTCATAGTAATAAGTTGAAGGCAAAATATAATAAGATATATTAGAAATAAATAAGCGAATATTAGAAAGGCGTAGTTAAGCAAGAATGATTATCCCTAGTTATGGTATGTATGGTTACAATAGGTACATATTTATCTACAAGACATAACCCTCTAACTTTAATATATTTAATTCTGAGAGCGATGCATTACATACCTATGGAGAACAATTAAAGACATTTAAATTCTCATTCGCTAATCGCAACATATTGTATAGAGTATAATAGTTTGTATTTTAGTTTCCTTTTTAACGATATAGCAATGAGAAAGCTACTTAAGTTCTAAATTTTAAATTTCCATATCGAATTAAAAGACAATTTGTTAAAATGGTGTTGATGAAAATATTCCTAATCAAAAGTTGTTAAATTTCAGTAATACGAATATATTTAAATATGTGTGTATTTAAAAATATTTCTATATACTACGTTTTCACAGTTTAATTTAGCCTGAATTAGTGCATCATTTAAAAGTAGTATTCAAGTTTCAAGAATGTGCTCTTCCAAACCTATTTTTCCAAGAAGCGGGCCCAGTTTCTCTGTTACACCGATTTTTGAGATATTGTCAAATAACGGATATTTAAAGAAAAAATTCATCGCTGCATTATAAATAAGAATATATGTTTTACACGCATTCTTCTCATTAGTCTCTTAAAACATTATTTGTTCATGATGTTATGACTTCACCAAAAAAAATTCATATTTAAACTCACATTTAATCAGATTAAGAAACTCTTAACCGGAACCGCCCCAACTGTTCTGATTTTAGAGCGTTAGAAAATTATCGAAGTACAAAGTAAAAGGAAAATAACGAGGAAATATGTTTCATTCGTATAATAATTCCTAAATTTTACTTTAATATTTCCTACAACTAATTATTATAATTAAGGCAAATCTGATGTTGAATTCGGACTTCTCTAATAGAACCGAATTAGCGTAAAAAATATATTGGTTTAAGCCTATATTTCGCGTATTTTAGTAACACAAATATTTTAGTCAAAATCTTAATTTTCTACTTAGAAACATTTTTCTTTTAATAAGCATTTGAACGGAGATAATTGTGTACTAAGGTGGTCACATGCAACCTGCTACATTTATTTATCAAAGTATTCCGGATGACGAGGCGAGTGGAATTCCTATCTGTCTTTCCGTGCATAAAAAGTGACATATCTTGATGATGATGAATCTGAAGAAATTGGTATTGCAATTCGCACTTGTAATTTAAGCAGGAGCAATGAAGCTAAGATGGTATGGGCGGAAATTGGTATAAGCATCTGACAAGGTTCGTTTTACCACCCACCTATGTATATCTCTACTAAATCAATCATATAGATAAATCAAGCACAAAAAATAGTATTGGAATATAACTTTGCTCAAATAGTTCCTAGCTCCCTCATACCGAATATTTCGGTTAATAAGTGAGTTATCTTCTTAGAATGAAAACATATTTCCGAATATACTTGAGTAATGCCGAAAGCTAATATAATCAATTCAGACATTTTATTTTGTTCAAAATGTGTGGTATTTTAAATTTTATTAAACATGTGTGCTAAAACATAATGTTGTTTAGTGCAGAATATGAATGAAATCAGTCTAGATCTTGGTACAAAGTTTTATCCGTAATATAATGAGTTATGCCCTCTTGATGATTTTTTCACCACATACCCACTATAATAAATTTCGTCCATTTGCTTGAATTTAAGTCGCATCAGCATAAGTAGGTCGCTAGTAAAATTTATGGATATCGATACAACAATTTAATACAAATATATAGGATATAAAACAAAATATATTGATGAAATTTATTGACAATTTTTCTTAACAATTGAATTGAATAACAATTTTTAGTACAAAATTTGGCCAACATTTTTCATTATTTGAAATTTTAGAGCATAAATTGTATAGTATAGTGAAAATAAAAAGGATGTTAGGTACATACATAAACGAAAGATAATTAACTTATATGTAGAAAGGGGAAATTGTTGAAAGCAATATCGATATATTTTCTATATATAACTATTTGTTATAAGTTCATCTTTTAATACAACAACCATAATATTATATTGTATGTAGAAGGCAATGGAAGTGGTTATTGCAGGATAAATGAACATCCCTAATAAGTACAAATGTGATTGACATTTCCATTTAAGTTATTGAATAATGTTTTATTACCATGTAATATTCTACAGTACCACACAAACTCCAAGTTGGATCCAATAAAATCAACAAAGCCCAAATTCATTTATTTGCAAGGCAATATTTGTATATACATACATTATTGTATACCTGAAAAATCTACTAACAAACCATAGACCCGACCTCTAGAGCCCCAAGCTCAGATAAAGAGTAAGCGAAAAGTGTAATAGTGAGTGTGGAACATATTTTGCCAGTTTCTATGCAAAAGAAAAATCTAGGTTACTGAGTACAAAAATGGAAACAGTATAAAATAGTAAGTAAAAGAGTTAGTTCTATGATTATAACTTGAATTATCAATTTTAATTATTTTGTCCACACAAATATTAAGATTTTTTATTTATTTATAAAATCAAATATTTTATTCAATTAACGGGATTTTCCTAAACCCAAATTAAGATGGATATAGGGCTAAGTCGCGTAATTTTAAGATATCTGCCTTGATTATACTTGTCGCGCAGTACTACTTTCTATTTTCGTAAAAGTGCAGAATCGGACCATTATTGGGCACGATGTGTTGATACTTCGGCAGGGAGTGTATTATAAAAATAATTATATAATTTTTAGGAAGGAAAGAGTATATATATATATATATACTTGTACTTGTATATATATATATATATGTATACGTTTCGAACGCAAAAATAGCAATACGTAGAAATTTCTTGTCCGTTATTTATTTACTTTTAGTAAATTGCATTTAAAATACAGTTAAAAGAAAGTTCGGGTTTAATATAACATTTTTATCAAGCCGGAGCAACATGTCACACAGCTCGTACCACAATCGTTTTATTGAAAGACACGTTTGGTGACCGCCTAATTTCACGTTTTGGACCTGTGAATTGGCCTCCAAGATCTTGTGATTTAACACCGCTAGACTACTTTCTGTGGGAAATTATCTGCTCACCGAAGTGTTCTCTCAATAAATCCATGGCTTGATGCGATGTGTGAAAATCAAATGTCGCCGAGATCAAGAGCTTCCATATCAGGCATCCAAAAGTCGGTTATCATGGCGCGATAACGGTCGCCATTGACGTTTACGTTCATACCGGTATCATTTTTGAAGAAATATGCACCTATGCTTCCACTCACAAACCGTTGTTTTTTTCTGGATTAAATGGCAGATCTTGAATCTCTTCAGGTTGCTCTTTGTCCCAAATGCGGCAATTTGCTTGTTTACATACCCATTAAGCCAGAAATAGGCTTCATTGCTCAACAAAATTTGGCTCGAAAGCGCGCGCAACACATTCTTTACAGATCGTGAAATTTCGTAATAAAGTTAAACAATTTGTTAAAGTACCTCTAAGTACTCTAGTACTAAAAATGGATTACTTCGATAATTTTCTACTTCAACTATAATACTTTATATACAATACTATAGTTTATTGCAGGAAATTCGTGAATTCAGTCCACGAAATATACCAAATCTCATATACTTCATATCATGATTTTCGTTATTTTAGCAGTTTTTATGCCGAATGTTTCCGTGAATTAATGCAATTAATACAACCTTCCCAATGCCGAAATATACACTTTTTCTGCTATTCAATGTGTGAGATCTATTAATGAAATTATAATTATTTATTATGAATACTTATTATAAAACGATTATAATTAGTAGTACAATAAAAAAGTTTATGGCACCTAATTCTGTTAACACACAGTTTTGATTTACACAGTTTCAAAAAAATTAAACATTAAACACAATTAAAAATTTCGTTGGGCTTAAATTTTATTTGTCAGATTTAATTTTTGCGAAATATGTTCATATCACAACTTTCGAGGAATTCTCTTTTTGTGGATATAAGCAAGTTTGCAGATCAGAGCAATTATAAATTGTACAACTTTAGGGGAGATCCCTTTTTATGCATACCAACAAATATTTTATAGGCAATAATTTTTTTTCAACGTTACATTAACTTTAATGCATGTCTTTATTTTCTTAAATAACTATGCTTGCATGCTGTAATACAAATTATATATATATGCGATTTATCAAAATAAACATTGATACTTGTTCTCAAAAATTTCTTGTTTTTTATTAATTTTATTAGGTTTTAAAGTATAGAAACCAATCATATATTCTTGCATACGATCAATGTCTTTTTTTACACGTTTTTTTGTACAGATTGTTTTGGAACCAATCTATCGTGTAAAATGTTGCCTAGCCTACCAGTCTTTCTTCACACATTGTAGAGCGCAGGTAGGTTTTACAGGATGTGAACGTTCGTTTCGCTGTAAATTCGGAGGTCAAGAGAACAAAAACACTTTTTACTAAAAAAGCACATAAAAGAGAGCAAATCAACGAAATACTCGCAATCAACGCTTAGCAACGTACACCATACAAAAACAACCACGAGGAATTAACAACACTCCCGTTGTCGTTTATTATTTAAATTTGAAGGCAAAAATATAAAACTATGACTTTTTTATATTATAAAAAATTATATTTATAATGAAATAAATAAAGTAATTTGCCAATTATTTTATACTTTATTTAAACAAAATCTGAAAAAAAAAACAAAAAAGTTAACTTCGGTTGCACCAAAGCTATTATAGCCTTCACAATACAAAAGAGTTCTTACACGAACTTGATTTTGATAGGTCAGTTTGTATGGCAGCTATATTCATTCGATCTGAACAATGTCTTCACCATTTTCACCGTTGTCATGGACAATAAGCCATGCCACATTTCGTGAAGATATCTCGTCAAATGAAA